TCTCAGATGTGTTCAACAATCCAGTTATTACTACACAATCTCAGATGTGTTCAACAACCCAGTTATTACTACACGATCTCAGATGTGTTCAACAATCCAGTTATTACTACACGATCTTAGATGTGTTCAATAATTCAGTTATTACTACAGGATCTCAGATGTGTTCAGCAATGCACTCCTGTAAATCTGACAGTCTAGGCAGTGGTACCCTTACTCACCTAGGACATCAACTTCGTATTTGATTTCCCTTTCTCCTGCCACACTGGTAGCCACACATATGTATTGTCCCCGGTCACCTTCCAGGGCACTCAGGATTTCAAGTGTCTTCCCACCGGCTTCTATGCGGATGTTGTCACTGGCTTTCACAGGTACACCATCTTTTAACCAAGTAAGAACGGGAGGAGGGTTGCCAGCAGCTTTACACTCCAAGATCAATGACTGACCAATAACAACTTGCTTATTTGAAGGCATGGCCAAGTCACCTTCAATTATTGGAGGAACTAGGGGAAACAACAGTAATATTTCAGGTAATTCTTTTCCCAGTCATAAAAGAATATCTTAAGTAAATAAAAGGGGAATTTTTTTCTTGTTCTTTGACCAGAGGAGCTTCCTGCATGCCTGTTTCCCTCTAAGTTGGTAAGGGAAGAATTTCTTGGCTCAACTGATCTACAACTATTCTAATTATTTTGAGGTGCTAGGGACTGTCATGATAACAAAAGACAAAGATCAGAGAGCTATCGTAATACTAACCATTGCTTTACCATATTGCTAAGAACCAAATGGTTGAGATGCTCCAAGTTCCAAGGGGGAAGAGTTGGTTAAAGGAATGAACTACATTTTGCTAACCTTAGCTTTTGTAAAAAAAAAATTTCAAATTATAACACTCTTTCAATTATTATCCATATAGAGTTAAAAAAAAATCCAACCAAGGCTTCATTAGTGAGTAATATGGATGGTAATCTAGAAAGGCATTTGGGTAAGATATCTATATATCCTTACCATAGATGTCAACGTGGAATGATTTTTCAGCTGTTCCAGCAACATTGGATACGTGGCATGTATATGCTGCTGAATCAGAGACTTGTGCTCTTGGAATGTGAAGAAATTGTCCTTTATCAACATAAAGTGCTTGTGAACTGGATATGATGACCTGGCCATCCTTATACCAGGTAATGGTAGGCACTGGAAGCCCCCGGGACTCACATTCCAGTTTAACTATGCTGTTGAGCAACGCCGATATTTCTGTGGTAACGTTCCCTCCTTTAATACTAGGTGGAACTACAAAAGATTTCAAAACGAACACAAATTTAGCATCTGCATCGCCATAGTAAGTGCTATGGTAGCTAAGATTTTTAGTTTAACATAAATATATATGAATGACAGGAAGTCTGTGTCCTCTACAGATGATTACTTCCTTCTCTGGCCCACACAATCTCTGCCACCTTCCTTTCCAGTTCCAGCTTTCAGGAAAACAGTCAAGTAAGTCACAGTCCAGTTTCAGTAGCTCATGGGATTGACCATATTGGAGTAATCAAGCAAGTTAGCTTCAACAAACAAAGCAATCCAAACCAAAGCCTCACTTAAAGAAGGCACATGAAGTTCAAAAACCATGCCAAAGGAACAAAAGGGTCAGAGGTAGCACAACCATGTGCTCTCCTCTCCCAAAATACAGAAGCACCTCTGAGTGCTTTCAGGACCAGCTACTGGCAGCAGCTGTGAAGTCTCTTCTTTCTTGCTAGTACTAGTTTTTAACTGCCAGGAGTCCATTCATTCAGCTGCACATAGCTAATCGGCTCCATGGGTAGCTTCCACTACACCGCGGCCTCATGCCTGGCCTCTCAGGCCACTGAGGACTGGGCTTTTGGAAAAAAGGCTGTAAGTTGCGCATTCTCAGCTACATACTTGCAGCATGATTCTTGCAAGGTAACAGTACAGTTGCAACAATCTGAAAGAAATCAAATGGCATGTGTCTGCAGTGCAGTGCCTTAATAGAGTTTTAATACATTTTTAAAAGAGGATGTTCTGTAGAACTTTCTTCTTGTGGTCCAGCTAGGGCTCAGGGTATTGAGAGAGAAAGCAGTGAGGGGTATTGTTCTTCTCATCACATGCTACTGCAGGTAGCTGATGTAAACATGACTGACTGGCTGCTGATGTTGTCACCCTGGCTACCTGGCTAAGGGCAGTGTTTGCCAAGTCTGGACTAGGAAGATGCTTTTTCCCCCACTATTCCCTGCCTATGTGAATGACATAGGCAGTTATATTTTACTTTACTGGCAAAGGAATATCTCCATAATTTATTTGGAATTCTACATGGGAGACATTATCTTCCTACCCACTTTATATATCTAATTCATTTATTTCTATCCTTATGAAGTCTTTTTTTTTTTTTTTTTTTTTTTTTTTTTTTTTTTTTGAAAAAGGGTTTTTTTGTGTTGCTTTGCGCCTTTCCTGGAGCTCACTTGGTAGCCCAGGCTGGCCTCGAACTCACAGAGATCCACCTGGCTCTGCCTCCCGAGTGCTGGGATTAAAGGCGTGCGCCACCAACGCCCGGCCTCCTTATGAAGTCTTAAGAACTTATATTATACTTGGGGATATAACCAATACTACATTAAATTAGGCAGTTTGGGGCACCTAAGTTCTCTTAGTTAGCTCCCTTGAAGCTATTTTATTTTTGCACTTCCTTAATAGAGTGCCCTACTATACACTCCACATCCATCTTATATAATCCTGCACATCTCTAGAGTTAACTATTTCCCCAAGGAACCATGGATTTTTTTAGTCGAAAAGGACATTGATTGGAAAATAAGATTCTGGTGCTAATAGAATAGCATCACATTTTCTAGTAATCTTCCTGATAATTACTTCAGAGTAACAGACACAATCCAAGTCATGGCCTACAATGTTTATGGGTGAATTTGATAGTGGAATCATTTTCCTATAGGTACATTCACGTTAAAGCTTGGGACCAGCCAGCTTTCACACAGGCCAGGGAATGCGGAGTTAAGACTGTGCGATGTTTTGTTAGAATACAGTCAAACTCATTCATTTGGGTATTGGCCATGGGTACTTTCACTGAATAGTGACAAAGTAGTTGCAAATGGCTACCCATGTGATGTGCTCATTGCTCCTACTGCTGCTCAGTGTGCCATAAGTTTCGTGACATACTTGTTTCTTGCTAGCATTTCAAATGCCATGCAAATAGTAACAATATATGATTCAAGTGCCATGCAAGTAACAATATATGATTAATTTTGTCCCCGGTGCATATTTGTCATCACAAAACAAGAAAAAAAGAGAGGAGTGGAACAGTGTGATGGGGTCTCTCTTGCTGTAAAATTAAAAGGCAGAGCTTTACATACACAGGGTTGACACTACATCTCCTAAAGCATAAATGGAAACAGACTAAGCACTCATCCCAATATTCCTAATTCAAAGATAGGCAACAATTTGAAATATTAGAATACGTGAAATGGAATGTTTCAGCCTAATAATTTCTTTACAAAAATCAAAAAGTTAAAAAAAGAGACTAAAACAAAGTAAGTTCCTATGTAGCATCTTAGGCAGCAAAGAAGGTCATTTTTCAATGGTGGTATACTTAAATTAATTATGGTGCAGCAGCCGAAGAAAGAAATATATCCAGAGAAAATCAGCTTGTTGGTGATTGGCAGCTGATGACTCTGGGGGCAATATGAAGAGTCAGTTTTAAAGGGCAATTTCTCCCGTCGACTATTCTTGCCTTTGACACTCTTGACAAATGTTACCAAGACTAAGCTGTTTGGGCTTATCTGGGGAGTTGGTGCAAAGTTCGACAACCATGAAGAATTGGTCTCTAAGAACAATCTATGCAGAACAAAATATCCTCAGGGAAGTCCAAGCAATGCTAGTTGAATTGGAATTTGCTAAGATTTGTCACAACTGATGATGGTAAAAACAAATATGTGAAGTAAAAAAAAAAAAAGAATGAATGGAGTATACAGAGCTTGAAGATGTGATGTTTAAACATCTGTGTTCCATGACTATTACTTTTCAGCAAGTGCTTTGCACGGAATGGTTGTGTGTTAATGATCCCCTAGTGCCAATGGTGTGTTTCATTTGCTGTTATTGATATGAACATCATGAGTTCCATGACCACTTCTGAGAAGCAGTTGCAAGTTTTAGTATTGCTAAAGTTTTATGTTCGTGTTTAGTGAGTTCAGAGCTGACATTAAATTTTTCTCTGAATGAGAAGTGTCATGCTTAAATGCTGTTATTAAATATTGAAGAGTTTGGGAAACTTGTTTTGCTTCAAATGGTGCTTTCAATTTAAAATTACAGCACAAGACACTAAATATGCAAATTAGTATTATAGCAGTTATTCGATTCTTTCAGCCTCATGTAGTCTAAGGCTACTTAATACATTTCTCAGGCTGTCAAAGGCTCAAACCAGAAGTGAGAACTTGATTCACCCACAAATATTTATTATATCTTCTGAACCCAAACAACTCTTCTACCAATGTTTGATATAAATGTGTAAGTCTCCACATTCAAGACATTCCATTTATCCTTGCAACAGAACCTTCCACACGGCTTTCAACTAGAACTGATTAATTGCCTATTTGCAATGGCACATTAAAAAGCAAATATCAAAAAAAGAATGTAATAGAATGTTATGAATGCTTTCCTAGAAATGAATATGCTCAGTAAAAACTCCTGTTAAAAATTAACAGCAGTATTGAGCAGGGCCTATCTATGGGAAAGACATTTTCAAAACTACAACAAATATAATCCCATTACCAATCATCAATAGTAACATATGAACACTTGTTATCAATTTGGATGACAGGAAAAATAGCCCTATTAAATAATTTTGTGCTCACATCCCCAACACTATGCTGAGATTTTTGTCTGTGTTGAACTTATGCAGGCCTTGTGGATGCTGTCACAACTGCTGAGCATTGATACATGCAACTGCTCTATTCTGTCCCGAAGAAACTGTTTCTAGACGTTATCCACCACCTGTGGCTTTAACGATCTTCCCACCCTCTCTTCAGGGAAGATCTGAGACTTGTGGGGAGAAGTGTGATAGATATACTTCACTTAGTGATGAGCACTCCACGGTCTGTACTCTCTGTATGCTGACCTGTGGGAAGTCACTCTCTTAATTGTCAGCTACTGTAAGAAGCTTCTTTGAAAAGTGTTGAGAAGTATATTGATCTATAGGTATAGCACATTTTACTACTATGTGAATTTTTTTATATATATTTTATTTTTTTATTTTATAATACTATTCAGTTCTACATAATAGCCACAGATTCCCTTGTTCTCTCCCTTCCTGCCCCCCTCCCCTTCCCCCCAGCCCACCCCCCATTCCCACCTCTTCCAGATCAAGGTCTCCCCCAAGGACTGGGATTGACCTGATAGACTCAGTCCAGGCAGATCCAGTCCCCTCCTCCCAGATTGAGCCAAGCGTCCCTGCATAAGTCCCAGGTTTCAAACAGCTAACTCATGCAATGAGCCCAGGACCTGGTACCACTGCCTAGATGCCTCCCAAACAGATCAAGCCAATCGACTGTCTCACCTATTCAGAGGGCCTGATCCAGTTGGGGGCAAGACTCCAGCCACTTCCTGAGACTTAGAGACCGGCCCCCAGTTCCCATCCTGCCCCCGACTTCCCTTCTGGACCAGAGACTTCCGGTCCAGATAAGAGCTTCCATCCTGCCCCAGAGTTCCCATTTGGACAAGAGAATTCCCATCTGGACAAGAGAGAGAGACTTCCTGAATCTGTCAGCTCTTTCTGAACCAAGTACTATGTGGATTTAACAGAATACTAATAGGCATTGAGCTGGATTCCATTGCATAAAGTAGGCCTTAGATCCAAACAGAAAGCGGTCGGTTCCTCCCATGATGGCTGTACCACCGTTACACAGTGGGTATATCTCGTCAGACCAGCGGTTAATGTAGCTGGCAGGGTTCACAACTGGGTGGCATTGATTACAGTGATATTGTATTTGTACTGAAATGTGATTTTATTTGTATGTTAATAAATAAAGTTGCCTGGGGGTCAGAGCTAATAGCAAGCCATAGCAGAAGCTGGGTGGTGGTGGTGCACACCTTTAATCCCAGTTCTTGGGAGGCAGAGTTAGGTGGATCTCTGTGTGTTCAAGGACACAGCCAGCATGGAGACACACGCCTTTAATCTCAATGCCAACCATAGAACACCTGGAGGTCTATACAGACAGGCAGTGACAAGGCGGTCATGTAGTTGGGTTTACAACCAATGAGAAGGCATAACAGAAAGTCTATATAAAGACAAACACATAGGAAGTTGGTCTCTTGGCTGAAGAGGATAGCTGCAGCAGTGAAGGGTAAGGCTCTTAGTTCTGACCTCTTGGGCTTTCATCTCTGCATTGGCTCTGTGTTTCTTATTTAATAAGATGGTTACTTCTACAATTGATAATGACTTTTCTCCTCTGGTATGGTGCATAGCACCTTCCAGCATCATAAAAGATATCCAGTAGGGATAAGGCTTCCAGGTCAGTACCAGGTTGGCTCATCCATGTTCTATGAATCAAGTATGAAGTGTCTTCAGCAATAGGGTCATACCATTAGTTTTGGAGAGTAATCAAGAGCATTAGCAGTAGCCTGTAATGTTTGGGGTTCTATGGTAACTCACTAGCCAACAACTCTAAAAGAATAAGCCATTTTTGGAAGTAGGGTTTCATTTGCTAACATGCGGTGTTTAGTTGGGTACTGTCTCCTCATTATAGGGTAACTCCATTTAAACTCTTTTTTATATACGCATAATCACATCTTAGGAAGCTGCTACAGTAGTGTGTTTCCATATGACTTTTCAAATTACACATCCCATTCTTTTCATTTATCCAGATACAATTTTCATGTTCATTTCTATTGTTGCTCATCCTCATGTGATGATATGAGGATGTAAATGAAAACAATCAACAATGAAGGGTGAAATAGACCTTCAATTTGAAATCTACATACACATTCAGCTATCTAGAGTACAGCATTTGTGTTTTTTTCATTTTATGACAGTCATATTTTCACAAATGAAATAAAGTAAGCCTACAGCTACCCACTTGACGGCATAGGGCAGCTTGCTAGAAAAGAAAGGATATGTTTTCCCAAATTAGAATACCCAGAACTTCTCAATACCACAATGCCTTTCAATCAGAAAATCCCAGAATCCTTCTCTTCTGGGTGCCTGAGGGCATCACACAGAGTGAACATGAGGATCTGAAGTGAATAAATCCGAGCCCCACAGAAATGGGAGTCCTACTGAAGTTCCAAGATGTATTCACAATAGATCCTGGCAACAATACAACAGCCTGGGAAGGCACTGTGCATGTTGTCTCAATGGCTGGCCCCGCTAGGACAGCATTGATGGTAATAACACTTTTGTTTAACTTGGCATCTATGTAGCTAATCTTTGAGTGATGGCACTTTTATAGAGGACATGTCTTTTCATGACTGATTTCCCCAATAGGCTTCCATTTATACACATAAATGATTAAAAATTCTGCTTTAAATATGAATTCTTTGATTTAAAAGTGGTACTAAAGATTGAAATAGACACCTATATCTTAAAAGTCTTATTGTAAATGAAATTGTTAAGTAGAAATCAAGCTAACTTTGAGCTAGGTGTGATGGCACACACCTGCAGTCTTAACACTTAGTAATTAGAGGCAGGAGGATCACCATGAGTTTAAGGCAAATTTAGCCTAAGAGTGAAACCCTGTAAGAAACAAAGGAAGAAAAGGAAGGAAGGAAATGAGCTAGATCCTACATATATTTTAAGTTTTAAAGCAATGGTATTGCTAAATAGACAATGATAAAAAAATATATTGAACCCTTACTAAACGCCAAATAAAACTTTTCTAGCATTTTATGCTTATAGCAATACTGTTGTATGGGCACGATTACTAAATCCATTTAAAAAATGGAAACTCAGAGGGGCAAGAGAATCACATGAAGTCACAAAGTGGCACGGCTTGGGTCCAAATACAAGTTTATCTGTCTCTAATGCCCACATTCTTATTAATTACTGGAACTGCTATTCAATAAAAACATAACTTAAACTGCATATGTAATTTGAAATTCTCCAAAGGCCACATTGAAAGTATAAAAAGAAACTAAGGAAGTAATTTTTAAGAATACATTTTACTTAGTCCAATATATTCAAAATATAAGTTTAGAATATAACATAAAATTATTAACCAGATATCTCATATAAAGTTTTCAGACCACCATTGATATCTGGTATGCATTTTATCCTTACAGTACCTCTCAGGCTGGACTAACTTCTCATTAACCGCATATGACTACTTGCAACGCCTTGCTAAGAACCACTAACATAAGAGTTCTATTCTTCTCTACTATGGAAGCTGTTGTGTCTGTGGCATAACATTCATCTGTCTACTTAATGGCTCCATTCATAAAACTGACTCTAAAAGTCACTTTAATTGGTGGTTGAAATTTTTTAGTGAAAATGGGGCTTACATTATTTGGTGCTTTAAATGAGAATGGTCTTGATAGGCTCATTTTTGAATGCTTGATCCTCAGTTTGGGGAACTGTTTGGAAATGATTAGGGGGTGTGGCCGTGTTAGAGGAGGTGTGTCACTGGGAGCCGGCTTTGAGGTTTCAAAAGCCCATGCTGTTCCCAGGTTCCCTCTCTGCTCCAGGGCCATTTCTCCCTGCCCACTGCCATGCTCCCTACCATGATGGTCATGGACTCTGACCCTCTGTAACTGTAAGCCCCAAATTAAATATTTTTTTATAAGCTGTTTTGTCACAGAAATAGAAAAGTAACAAAGACACATTATTTCTGGTAGAGATTCAATGGGGGAAAAAAGAACACATGGCATTAAAAATATTACCATATGGTCAGGATAAAAATCAAGATGGAATAAAAATATAACAATTGAATTGCTGGTATACTAGTTGCTTTGGTGTATTTTGTGCATTTATACACTCTTTAAGGTTTTTCTTTTAAGTCTTTAAGGACATAGGCATTTTATTTATGCTTATACTAACCAATTAGGGAATACCTCACCATATCAAAATTACTATGTAATCTGAATAAATCCACAGATAAGGATAAATTGCCTTAAAAAAAACTGAATGCTTGTAAGAATTTAAAACATAAAGTTAGACTCCTCTTTACTTGAATAGCATTCCTAAGTATTCAGTATGGAGGGAAAGGACAATGAATATTAGAGTAAACTTTAGTTTTCAGCAACACCATCAGAAAGTCACACATACCATAGACAGTCAGCTTTATATCCTTGGCTTGCTTGCCTGCTGCATTAGACACAGAACATTGGTAGCGCCCCTTGTCACTTCTCCGTGCAGTTCTCAGATGTAAAATTTGTCCTCTGTCTGAAAGTTCAATGTTGGGATCTCCCAAAAATAAAGGCCTAGAAAAAAATTTATTTCAGAGATCCATTTCAATTTCTCTGTGTTTCCTGTGTTACTAATTACAAAATTACATGGTATGAAGTTAAAGTAGGAGACAAAACTGGTTTTAAAAATACACTGTGATTAGTGCGCCTACTCCACAGACTAAAAGTATTAAACCACATTAGTAAAGAAACTGGGTAACTACTGCTTTGAGATGAGAACCTTTCCCTTCCAATCTTTAATCATTTAATAACATCATTAGGAACTAAGTGGGATTGCCATTTGTTTCATTCATTCATTCATTATTCTTCTCCTTTCTCATTTTATAATTTGGGGTTTAATGTGAAATTAAGTGGAGAAGAATAATTAAGAGTTTGATAATGCTTCATAGTAACTTCAGAGTAAGGGAAGTTATAAGAAAATGTGTGGTTATTACTTGCCAATGATGCTGACTATGCCAATCTTTCTAAAAAGTGGAATACATATAAATGTTATATAACCATAAATATTGAAAGTATTTATTCCCAAAGAAGCTCGTGCATTTTCCAGGGATGTCTGTTTCTAAGATTCAGTCATCTACTTTTGTAAAATTCTCACTTTATGTCATTGCCAACAGTGTGTTTAATACTTGAAAAATCTCACTTAGTAAAGTCTGTGATCTCTCAAGAATCATTACTTTAAAGTTCCTTAATCTATTTTTCAGGAAAAAAAGCTTTAAAACTTATAGTTATATTTTTTTAAAGTGACTTAGTCACATAATAAATTATTGAATGTGTTGCTATATTAATAAGTCAGCATCCAGTCTACTCAATAAATAAAAAAGACATTAATTTTGTAAATTGTTACCCTTCACTATTCTTTGGTATGACATTGTATATAAATCGCCTAAAAGTTAAAAGTACCATAGTTTCAGACAGTGGTTCTCAACCTTCCTAATGCTGCAATCCTTTAATACAATTAATTCTTCATGTTGTACTGACTCCTAACCATAAATTATTTTTGTTGCTACTTTCTAACTGTAATTTTGCTACTGTTGTGAATAATAATGTAAATATTTGTTTTCTGATGGTCTTTGGTGACCCCTGTGAAAAGGTCAGTCAACTCTACAAAGGGTCGTGACCCTCAGGATGAGAACCACTGGTTTAGTACATTTGAAGATTTTTTTTTTAAAGACTGAACACTTGAGGGAAGGAGATTTTAAAAAAAGAGTGAGTACTTGATAATATGTTACTTAAATTTATGAAACATTGACATTTTGTTCCTTATTAATTATAAAGGGAACATAAAATTTAAACAAATAAACTTAAGTGTTCGTATTGGAAAATCATTCTTGATTTGTTGCCACAAATGTGACTCTTCTCTCTGACCTCTCGTCATTATCAGTTTGATTTTTATCCATCTGTTTTCACTAGACAGTCTTCATTCATACATGTATCCCTGAAGAAGTCTAAGGTTTATTGCAAATGACACTGTGCTGTTCTCCTGAGTTCCACTGTGCTCTGTTAGGCAGTTGTGGAGTTACTTTGGTATGAATCCCTTAGTCTTGTGTGTCGTCTGTCTCCTGACATCTGGCATTAGCCAGTTTTCACTCTTCTACCACTGCAGATTGGCTGAGAATATCAGCAAATGAACTTCCTGCTGGACATGTGTGTTTGCTGTCCTGTCTGTGGAGCGGAGATGTGACCCCTGACCTGAATGACAGTATCTGAACACAACAATTTTAATGTGCAGCATCAAATTGCCTCTAGGGACATCGCTTTATATTCTCTCCAGTACTGTAACCTGACTTGCCATATCCAGACAACTCTTGATCTTTTCAAACCTTTATTTTTAAAAGTGACCTATGAGAAACAAAATTATATTTTATGTATAGGCATCATATTGCTGAGGATGAGAATCTTTTAATGTTTCTTGTGTGCTTGTATTTATACTCCTAATTCATTTTTTCTGTGTTGTCAGTCTTGTTAATTTCCTGGAAGCTTAAATGGATTCTATATTTTATACACAGACAATCTAGACTCCCTGCTGCCTAGTCCTTTAGATATCTTCCCCTCAGACACACAGACAGTAAGAAGTAACATCTCAAACCACTGTAGGTCACTGTAGCCACGTCAGTGTGGGCAAAGCCCTTGATGCTGACACTCTGGGAAGTGCAATTGCTCTCTGTGATTTCCACTTTAGTCAGACAGAGAACTAGTCTGCACACTCATTATATTGTCCCTAGCACATTTCCCTTCTCAATAGTTCAGTCCCTTGGAAAGACATGATTATCTCTTCATTGAAATCTGTTTTTTACTGTTAATATTTATGCAGAGGATTTGGGTGTGCAATAATAATACATTAATCTATTTCTATAATAAATCCCCAAATTTATAAAGAGCTTTGTTATTTGAAAAGTGAAAGGTATTACAAGACTTTTTAATACATCATTTCTCCTTCAAGGTCATTTAACATATTTTTTATAAGTGATTAAAAGGGAGGTAAGGCTTTCACACTGATGCATCTCTTTCTTATACATTACACTCTCAGATACAGACACGACACTCACTTGCCGTCCTTGAACCAGTGAATAGCAGGGAAGGGAGTGCCTCTGACATGGCACTGCAGGGTGGTGTTGTGATTAAGAACAACCAAGACTTCATTTGGGAAGCTGGCACCTATTATGCTGGGTGGAACTTGAACAAAGACATTTTATCATAAAATATATGATTTAGCACAAAGGTCCTGGGAAGAAGCAGGCAGTTAGTGGTTATCAAAGTATTTCAACAATAGATTAATGTCATAAATAAAATATCCCACAATAGCTCCCTTTCATGTCACACTGTGTGCCCAAATGTTAAGTTCAAATATAGGAACATTTTCATGAAATTTTGTTAGCAGGACAATTACCTTCAAGCATAATGACAGAACAGAAGTCTTTCTGAGGCACAGTAAACTCGTATACAAAAGTCACGGAATGTAGTTGAGCAGCAAAGTTCATCTAATCCAATGCATTATTGATATGCATTTCAGATTATGAATGGCATAAACAATGTCAATCTCATATGGCTTACAAATTCTAAATTCATATGGTCAGGTCTACCTTAATCTTTTATTGAAGGATGTCTATACAAAACTTGGCATGAGTATGATGTAGAACATGAAAAAGAACATACTCATTTTTATCCTTGGGATTATACAAATGAAACTGTTCATGGATATTTTCCTTGCTATCTAACCTTCTCCTTTGTATTATGTTAAGTGGTCTGATAGTCATCTTCAGAAAATTATTAGGCAGTATAGGGTTTCAGTGAGGAAGAGGTACAGCATAATAATACATTTATACGAAGACCTCACTGGTTGCTGAGTGAAGAATGGATCAGATTGATGATGATTGGGTGCAGAAAGGAAGTTAAGGGGCTGTTATAAATTAAAACACGCCTTCACCATGGAATGGAAAGAAGTAGATAATTAGGAAGTAGACATGGAAACACATGGGTAACTTTCAGGAGCTCTGGAGAAAGCAGGGGAAGGGTGGAGATGCAGGTCACTCAGAGACCCCAACATCTAGTGGAGAAAATAGTCACTGGGAACTTTTAGTCTGATATAGCACCAAGGTATTCAATAACATGTAAAGAGGGCATTCCAGCCAACACGCTAAGGAAATATGAGCATCATGGCACACATCTATAGTCCTAACATTTGGAAGGCTGGGGCAAGGAAGACTGCAAGTTTGAGGCCAGTGTGAGATATTAGAGAGACTCTCTTAAAATAACATACAAATTTAATAAGTAGATAAAAACATAAAAAAGATAGTAAGGTGAAGACTAGATATTTTTTACTAGTGCTTAAGGAATTCCAAGCTAGAGCTGAGCATTTGGGAATCATCAGCACAAAGATGGACTTCATGGAGAGAATGAATGTCAGGAGGAAACAATGCCAAGACCAGTGATAAGAAAAATTGCTGAGGTTGTTTAAAGTGCCTGTGATTAAATATAAATATAACTGTAGGAAAAGACACATAATGTAGTTCAGGTTTGGAGAGAGTAAGGAAATTGATTATTTTTGTACTGATGAGTGCTAATTTTTATGAACACACTACTTCTAGGCTTCATTTTTCACTACAAACACTAATTATAAACCTCTTTTGATAAAATGTTGAAAAGAGAAATTCATCTATCATGAAATGAACTTATGTCACATAGAAATTGACTGAAAATTAAACTAATGACAGCCATTAAAATTATTTGTATCATACTCTAGCAGAGTGATGACCCACTTCCAGAATTCTCTTCCTGCCAGCAGTCCATCCCCTTCTGTCAGATTTCTCTTCCCCCTGACTACAACCAGGGCTGATTTCGCTCCTGTAATTTATTAGATTATGGTGGAAACGGATGCATGACCTTTTCCAGTTCAAGCATCCTGCTAGCTTCAGGAGATGTACATTCATAATCACATTGCACCATGTTGCACAGCTACCTATGTACCTAACCAGTTCTCTCTGTAGCTACTGCCTAGAGAAGTATCTCTTAACATACACTGTAGCACTCTTAAGTTTATGACACCTTGGTACATATGAATCAAAGCCATCTTTATATTATAAGTAATTGAAATTGAAAACAACAGAATAAATGATTAATGTAAATGGTATATCTCCTATCAATTTATTTTTTTAACCTCTCTGTTTTGTCATACCATAAGAAATGTATCTAACCCATAGGTTTGTTTTCTAAAGAGGTTTTCCTTACCTAGTACATTGACACTAAAGTGCTTCTGAGAGGTTCCTGCAATATTAATTGCTTTGCAGGAATATCTTCCTGCATCCTCTGCAGACACTTTAAAGAGCTTTAGCATCTTCCCATTGTTCACAATCTGAACAGTACTGCTCTCTGTCACCTGCATGAGACAAATTATTGTTATTTCCCAAGCTAATAAAACTCCACCGTTAGAAAAGAAGAGTGGCATTTGTTATCACTGAAAAGAAATTAGTTTCTGCACCATTTAATTCAGGCACAGAGGCAGGGAACTGTGCATACTGTGCTTGGTTGTCTCCATGTACCTGGATGTCATCTTTATACCACATAATGACGGGCGATGGAGTTCCTTCTACTTCACAGTACAGACTGGCCAGTTGGTTTACCAGCACGGACACGTTGGTCACATGTTCCTTATCTTTAATTACCGGTGGAACTGCAAAAGAGAGAGTCATGACTGGACAGTCTTGTAATCAATGGTAGCTTGCAAGTTTCTCCAAAAAGCCCTTTAGAAACTTCAAATACAAATGATGGCAGAAAGCTAGTAATGTGCAAGCACATACTTTCTTATAAAATGAAATGTGTCAGCTGACATGTATAAATAAAAATCCCTATGTAATGTTTTACTTTATGTCAGGGTTTCATTTTCAGGAAGAAATTTAGGATAATGCTAAGAAATAACATTTCACATATTGAAAGTTTTAGGGGATGCATTTAATAAAATATAGTACTCACTACTTGGCTGGTGGAAATGAATGTGTGTCTATGGAAGCCATCATCAACAAAATCTAAACATCATATACCCTTACAAAATGACACAGGTGCAAAATGATACAGGTGCAAACTGTAACTACCTGGTAACAATCTGAATAGTTATCATCAGTAGAGAAAGGTTAAATATGTCATATGAACTCATGTAATGAGATGTTATAGATAAGAGATAAGGACCTAAAAAATTCACAAGACAGATTGTTCAATGAAATAGCCCAGGTATAGAGAGTGGATATATTCTATCATACATGTTCCTTTCATAAGGTTTTCATACTTATTTGTGTCTTAAAACAATCTCTGAGAAGTCACACACATGGTGTATGTGAAACTGCTTTGCTCTGGAGAAGGCATGCAAATCACTTATCAGCGTGAGCAGGCTTTCATGCTGTGTCTTTATCTCCTATTTAAACTTTGAGAGATGTAAAGTCTCAACCAGAAATTGAGTGAAATTTTGAACAATAAATAAATGCAAACCAATTTCCTATCTTCAGTTTGATATTAATATATTCACAATATTAAGTAATAATATATTGATTAAATATGCAAAATTAGAAAGAGTGATATTCTTAGTTACTTAGTTTTAACGTTTTAATCTGTATTTACCATGAACTTTGAGGTGATATTTCCTTTCTGTGGTCCCAGCTTCATTGATGGCCACACAGATGTACTCGCCATTGTTATGTGGTGTAAGAGAAGCAATTACCAACAGCGCACCATCTTCCAAGATAGAAACACCAGGCTCTTGGCCGGTCACCTCTCTACCATTGTGTAACCACTTGATGGTTGGTTTAGGAGTACCTACATAGGAAATTACAGCCTTTTATAACAAAATTAGGGGAAAAGAGTTTAAAAAAATCAAATACATCAAGAACAGATGACCATAATGTGCATCCCGAGGCACTGTGCCACTTTCAAGATGAAAGTGAAAACACTACAATTAATGATAGTTAGTGAATAACTCTAATTCCTGATCAGTTTTCAGACCTGGGGCTTCTAGGTGATCAAAGTTGCTTTTAATCAGAAAACTCAGAGTATAAGATACAAAACGTTTTTCCTGGTGAGTTCACTACGGTGACCAGAAGGGGAAAAAAACAATATATTCCATAAGATGTTGTTAGCAATCAATACTAAAGTATTAAATATATTAAAAGTAGTACATACAATCCGAGATAAGGCCAAAAGGATGGCAGAAATAGATGCAATATACTGATGAAGCTAAACCCAATATTAATTAATGTCTTATAAAAGTGATTATGAAAGGCATATTTGTAAGGAGAAAAATGAAAAAAATCAGCCTGTTTAATCTTGATCAGTGTAAGATTTTTGACTAATGTGGAAAAGATGGTAAAACTGATCATCTCCATCTGTCTGTCCACATTCTGAGGGAACATCAGAGGTTATAATCATTTCCTATGTTCCTACTCTTTCCTTTGTGGACAACAGTCAGACTTCGCAAGTAACATTTATTGAAGAAACTCATAAAAAGTAAGTAGACAAATAAAAGGAAGGAAATCAGAGCATTGTCTTTTACCTATAAGTACTAGTATTGTCAAGATGAAATCCCCAGCAAAGACAACAAAAAGTGGGTTGGTGAGATGGCCGGTGGCTAAAAGCCCTTGTTCTGACGTCTGATGACTGCCTCTGGTCCCCAGAACAGACAGCGGAAGGAGAGACCTGACTCCTCAAAGTTGTTCACACACACACACACACACACACACACACACACACACACACACACAAAATAAAAGACAAGGAAAACTCATTTAACCACTTTTGAACGCACCCAAGAACTCTATTTCAGAAGGAAATGAGGGCCTAAGAAAAGATGGTTCCTTGTGGAAATGGGAAGTCAGGGAAGCCAGCTTGAGAGTAAGGGATCCACGCAGGCTGAAAAGCCGCTACGCCACAGGTAGGGTCAAGGGGCAGCTGACCCCACATGACCTACACAAACTCACACCATTCTGAAGATGCCTCTTCTCCACGTCTTGTCTCTCTAGCTGTCAGTGGCCCTGAGAACTATTACTGCAACGTTTTCAGATGTCTGAACAATCTGTTAGAGCTACCTTTCTTCAGATACTGGAGATAGCTATGGAGAAAGGAGGGGAGTGGTCACTACTAAACACAGGCAGCTCTGCTGGCCTTAACTGCTGCCAACTCCGGGGACAACTAAGAAGAGGTACCTGTTGGGGCACTGTTGCTGGCAGCTGCCTGGAGTCCTCCTGCCCAGGCCAGGAGGCTATGAAAAGAACTCTGCTTAGACTTTGCCAGGACTACCACAGGCAAGTTTGAGTTATTGTAGATGGATGCACATGTAAGAGAATGTCTCGAATGTGTGCTTAGCACCCAGAGCAAAGAGGGCAGAAACGATGGCCCCTGTGGAGAGACACTGGACCAGCTCCTGGCAGAAAACATGGTAGTATATTTAAAGGGTTTTAAAAAGCCACTGAGATACATGTTACATATGACATGGTCCCAAAATGACCAGTGTGAGTAGACCTAGGAAGGAAAAAAAAAAGGATTAAAATAAAAGTGCCTCAGACAGAGGATAACTCTGATTTATACCCATTGCTAATGGATATTAATAGGGAATGTTGTGAACAGATCAAATGCAACATTTTAAACAAGAAAACATTTCCAGAAAGAATAAAATGAAAAATAATTTTAAAAAAAGACTGGAAGAATCTTGAAAAAAATCCTAGATTAAGCAAGCTTGAATGATTGGGAGATCCTTTTTCTGAGAGAAATAAAACATGGATGACGGAAAAATACCAATCCAAAGAATTATTCGAAGGAAGAGAGTTTCTGTTATGTTCAAACGCTGTAGCAAGGATTAGCAGGCAGAAATTTCGAAATTTCAGGTGGAAACTTAGAAATTTGTCCATATCCCATACTTAGAACCTGCTACCCATGCCTGTATCCCTAAGTATTACATACCTTTTGCAGGGCATGGAAATGCAATGCGCTGATTGGCCAGTCTTTCTTGGAATGGAGTGTTAAAAGGAGGTTGCAGGTCTTCCACTGTGGGTGGTTCTAGTACACAAACAAATACATTGTCTCTGGCTTTCCTTGGACACTCTCCCATTCCGATTCCCTTATTCTTTGATGCGGCTGTTATGGTCACCTGCTAATTGTCTGCCCTTCTCTGGTTTCCTAACAGACACTGCTGCCTGCCGTTCAATCATGTAGCACCATGTATGTTCCCATATCTGCATCTTCCTATCCTCACACTCCCATGCAAACCTTTACCCCTTTTATAGGTTTCTTATAGATATGCTATTATCAGGTGCAGACCCATTTGGATTAATGTTCTGTACAAGCTCTGTGTAGACTCTATAATGATGTGCCTCTGAGATTCGCAAGAATATTAGAAATGTGTATCTTTCTCCTTTGACTCTAAATGTGGGCACTTAATAAGGTTTATTGAGTGTCCTAGACACTCATACCCTAGCAATTGTGACGTCCCATTTATTAAGTGCTAAGTGTTGTGCTGATTTCTATACCCACTCCTCTTCACTTCCTGCCTTTGTCTGGTATTCCCTCTAGCAGAGTGAGACAGAAACCTTCTAGTACTAGTTCCTGCCAGCCAGTAAGCCCTCACCCTAAATACTACTCCAGAGAATTACATAATTCCTACCTGGCAATCCATTCCAAAGTAGCCCATTCCCAGAACAGTAATCCTATTTTAATTTACCCACCATGCTTTTCCTTATCTGTGAACCTTGTTTCTTTCTTTGCTTGTTTTATGAGAACAGCTCAAGAAAGCTTTCTGTCACTACTTCATCACTATTGCCTAGAACATGACAGACACTTGGCCCACCCTCAGCAACAAACCTCCAAATAAAGCCAACAACAATAGAGGAGCAGTGAGCCATGACCTCTCAGGGATCAGTTGAGGTGAGGTATGAAGTGAAATGCTACTCCAACTAGCTCCAGCTGCAATTTCTCCCAGACCAGAAACGCTGGGTGGCCCGTTACTGAGGACTGCTTCCATTATAGACACCAGTGACTTTTGTTTCAAAAGTAAACATTAAAAAATTTCGCTTGGGGTTAGCAAGAGTATCATTTGTTTGCTTCTGGATAATGCTCCCTTCAGAGCTAAAGTTATATGTAGAAAATCTCAAAGAGATCCATGATTGCACATCCTGTGTAGAGCCCAGGGGGTCTCGCTTCACTCTCATCCTTATTCCACCATATACACGTCTCTTATGTCAAAACCCACCTTGGACATGCAGGGTCACCTCCGCCTCATCACTGCCGGCTATGTTCGTGGCGATACATGTGTAGACCCCCGCATCTGAGATCACAGCCTGCTCGATGCTCAGGGTTCCATCCGGATTGCGAGGATGCTGCACTCCCTCAGTTAGCACGGGCCTTCCGCTTTTAACCCAGGTGATCACGGGAGGTGGAGACCCATGGGCACTGCATGGGATGTCTACTCTCTGGCCCACTTTGACTTTTATGTGTCTAGTTCCATGCTGTATTTTTGGAGGAACTGGAAATCACAGTTGAGCATTAATGATCAAATATTTTTAAATCTCTCTCTCTCTCTCTCTCTCTCTATATATATATATATATATATATATATATATATATATATATATATACTCTGAATGAGAATGCCTTACCACGAAGTCACACAAAAAGAGTAGAACAATCACTTACTAGATATGGGATCTAGGGTGTGCCAGCAAGCCTCTTGAGGCCTATTTCTTTAACAATCCAGGCAAAATAAACTGTGCAGGCACAGTACCAATATACTACAAGAATTACAGGAAATGACAAATACAATACTCTTAATCCCAAACTTGAAGAATAGTAAGCATTTAACAGTAGTGAGTTTCCTTTAGTACATAAGTAATGTAAGGTTAAAAGCCCTTTCAGGAACCTCTCTGATATGAGGGCAAAACAGAATTCTCTCTGTGTAGTCAGTTTGTCTGCCCTTTATGGAAGACAGGCACTACAAAAATGCTCTAAAAGCTTTTTTCCTAATTTCAGAGACAAAAATTACACACAGCTTGTATTTCTCTCCAGATCTTCCTTCAGAAAATTTACTGACGCACCTTTATCAGAACACTAGAAAAAGGCCTCTGCACTGTGTACTATGGAGTCACGAGTCTAATTAGAATACATGCCATGTAGCTGTCTAAAAGGGCCCACTCTCTTTAACTTGAGTACTTTCTCAGGGTCGTCAGTCACAAACCCTTCTAAGTTTGAAAGCATTATTATCATCTTTTGTGAAAAAAGAACACTTAAGATAAAAGAGGTTAAGCAAGATACCTAGTGTCTGAGAGTTGATATATGATGGAACCCCCTTCTGATGTCAAAACTCTAGTTCAATGAGATGCCATTGTCAGGACTGGTATAGAAATGAAGCCAGGCTAATACCATCTCATACCATTTCCTCATATATATATATATATATATATATATATATATATATATATATATATATTTATATGTTTTTTTTGTATATATTAAAAACA